GGGGGTTAGTGGGGGGGGGGGGGGAGGAAGAGCGATGGGGGACTCTAGAGGCTTTTAGATTTCTTTAGCGTTATTGTAGTTGGGCCCCGCGTTCCTGCTTTAACCTAGACAGAAAGATGTCTTCCCTCTCAGGTCTCTGCTCAATGAGGCCAAGGCCGGAGACTTATTTTAATGTAGATGCATTGCACCATTGCACCATTCCTGGGTTCTTTCACTTGCATTTTGGTACAGAAAGGGATTCTTTTAATCTAGACTGCCTCTCTTCTTCCCTTTCAATTATTTTTTTTCAGTCACTTGGATCTTCATCTGCTGAGATCCAATGATGGGATTCTCCCAGGTCTGTTAAATCCTACTTCCCTTCCGGTACTAAGACTGTAGTACACCGCCATGTTCATTTCCTTGAACATTTGGTGAATAAATGGTGCTTTATGAGCCAATTTTTCACCGAGTTGGTTAAGAGACTCCATGATGTCAGAGAGTGAACCAGTGATAGGCTGATGCTTGTGGAAGAGCTTTGATTTGTATTTCTATGCTGAGCTGAAGCTTGGACTTGGGGGCCAGTGGCCCTTCGAAATTGATTGCCCTACTCCATGTCCAGGTAATAAAGCGCTTGCATAAAAATAATTCTCCAGGTTCACCTGAACTTTTCTTGTCCCCAAGAGGGGGACGGATGGTTTGGAGGAACATACAACATCTGAATACATCATCAAGTTTGAGACACTGCAAGTCAGGATGGACACTGGTTCGGTCAGTTCTACATTGGCCTTGAATTCTCATTTCACTAAGTGTCTTACCAGGACAAGTCCCTTTTGGAGGACTTCCAAGACATTTGGCATTTGAAATGCTCATTCATGTGTGTGATTCTTTTTTCTTCTTTTGTTAAGTGTACTTCTTGAAATGTTAATGTTTTGTTTAGTACATAACAGCATATGTTGGGACTATTTTCTGTTTTCTTTTTTTTTTCTTTTTCCATATAATAAACATAAAAATAAATAAAAAGATTTGTGGGAGACTGCAAGTTCAAAATGGAAATATACGCAAAGAAGCCTTTGCAGATCAGATTATTTGGCCTCATAAATCTGATGGAGGTGTATGTGCATGTTAAAAATTGCTGTAGGATACAACTGCTTTCAAATTTGCATGCCACCAGCTCTCTTTAACCTTAATCTGAAAGTCAGACTTCCGGTAAGGATTCATGGAGAACTAGACAGCCCTGAAGGAGCTGGGATGGCATTGCGGTGGAGATTGACAGCCAGACGACGAATTCTGGCCAGCAGAATCTCTCCGGAAAAAGGAGAGATCGTGAGATCGCCCACATGTACAGACAGCTGCTCCTCATGAGTAAATTGCAGGAACTGAAGTTTTTGCAGTCAGCTCATGAATCAAACAGGTGGGAGTCGAGGGGTTTCAACCAAGCTTATAGCAGTAATGTAGCCTACACAGACAAAAGGTTCGCCAAGCCTCATTTTTTAATCACTTTCAGAAAATGCTTCTTAACTGCTTTTTAGCTATTAGGAACCTTTCAATGGCAAGTTTAATAGCACCGGGTAAGTCTCCTTCAATGCTTAGCGAAAGAAGCTTTAAATACAGATTTAAAGATTGTTAAACAAAATTCTTTTGGAATAAACAGCAAAAGGGTGATTAGAACATTGATTTTGGAAAGTTACAAACAGACTAAGGTCCAGATGGATTTGAAATAAGATTTTGAAATTAATTATAAGAATCCTTCCCATGGGAAAATGCTATTGTTTTGAATTCTTAAAAAAAAAGATAGGATGGGACTTTAAAGGTTGGATACTAGACAGAACCAGAAGGAATTAAAGATTACAATTAATAACACTTAAATTTGACTTACTAATACAGAATGGAGCAAAATACTTTAACATTGGAGGTATTGAAGGATGTTTGTTTATTTATCATATTTATATAGCTGCCCATCTCACATAAAAGTTCATATTTGTGAACGATGAACCCAGAAGTTAATTTTAATTTTTTTTTAATTTTAAAAGTGTCTGCCCTTATAGATAGACCGTGTTTAAAAGATGTTATGGAAGAGGAATTTTTATTTTATTTATATTTATTTATAAATCAAATTTATATCATCAAATTTATTAACTCCCCCACAAGGAGGGACTCTGGGTGGTTCACAACCAAACAGTTAAAACCAATAAAAATATAAATAGCACAGCATATTTCTGGAATAAGTTTTACCGGACAAGACTGAGATTGATTTGAAAGTGGATTTAAAACTGACAGGCTACAAGAATGACATGGAAAAAGATGCTACACTGGATATACAAATGAAACTGGCTGATATATTAATGATTAAAAGGGATATACAAATAACAAACCAAGAGAGTGATCTGGATAATTTTCCTATATTGGATTTACAAAAGTTTTGAAAGGCTTTTGTGAGAAAGGACAGTATTTGAAGGCATTAAAGATCAAGACTGTTAAAAGTAAAAGGTAGGTATATAAAGTTAGTTTATTTGATCAAGGTTAAAATAGATACATTGTTATCTCTGGTAACCCTTAATGAACTTTTGCTGACCACAACTGAAATTATGAGACTTTAAGGATTTTGTAGATGAGATATGGAAAGAAAAGATCATTTGTGGTATTTTAAGAGAAGGTGATTGTTTATAAAATTGTTTATACTTCTTGTTATGAAAGGGGAAGTAATTTCTTTATATATTCTCTTTTTCTTTGCTAAATTCTTATTTTTTCTTTCTTTTTTCTTTCTTTTTTCTTTCTTTTTTCTTTTTCTATTTCTGTTTTTCCTTTTCTGCACGTTTTCTTTATATTTTTTTTGTTTTAGTTTGTATTCTTTTTAATTGTAATATATTACAAAAATAACCTTAATCTAAAAAGATGTTTTGGTCAAACTGAGTTGTTCCATTTGGCACGAAACTAGATACAAAGAAGGATCTTATTGCTGTCCTCAGAATGAATTAATATGATTCAACTACAGTTAGAAAACAGGCTACAGGTAGTCCTGCTTAATAACCACAGTTGAGACCAGAATTTAGGTCACTAAGCGATGTGGTTGTTAAGTGAATCATCACGTGACCGGACCTGATTTTACCACCTTTTTTGCAGCAGTCATTAAGCAAATCACTGCAGTCATTAAGCGAATCACATGGCTCCCCACTGATATTGCTTGTTGGAAGCGGGCTGAGAAGGTTGCAAATGGCAATCACATGACCCTGGGTCGCTGCAACCAAGCGCCCGGATTGTGATCACATGACTCTGGGGATGCTGCAACAGTCCTAACTTTGGGCACCGGTTGTAAGTCACTCTCTAGCGCCGTTAACTTTGAACAATCACTAAATGAATGATTGTTACGCGAGGACTACCTGTAATCTCAGGGCATTATCACAGATGAAAGACATCCTTATTGCTTCAGAGCCCTACATTTATATAATTTTATATTCTTGTTCTTTGCGGTGGCTGTTTCAAGTATCAGCATATCATTTAAAAGATCAATGGTAGGATTTTTATTTTCACCATTTGTAAAACTTTCTTTGATGAGAATTTGGTCCACCCTTCACAAAGTTCCAGTCGTGAAGTGGGATGCTCTGCGCAGCCTATAATGAATGAAACAGGGCAGTCAGGACTTTGAATTCAGCAATTCGCATTCTGATTTGGAATGGCCATGAGGTCAGGAAAATGTTTTAGAATACCTAACCACAATATAAGGCCTTGTTTTCTTCATACAGAGGGAATTATTTATGGTAGGGTGATATCACTGTGCCTTATGTTTGAGGGGTATCCAACTGGATATCGATCTCTTGAGCTGAGGCTCAGCATGCCCGGAAGAGCGGGGCATAGCCTCACATTCTGGATCCTTGAGCTCTTCATCTGACAAGCTAGCACGTTGGGTCGTGGGGTTCCTGCTCAGTGCGCCTGTGACTGCCTCTTGACTGGACAACAGACTTTCTCTACACATCGTTCAATTCCGGCCATGTCCTATGACAAATTGGGAAAGGTAGAGGTAATTTATATGCATGTTTTTAGAGGTCCACACAGTATCACAGGAGGACACTCTGGAAGACCATTCTTGTAACTGAAACCAACCATTGCCTAATTGCTTGGCAGACGATCCGGAAATTCACCCGTCTATCAGCAAGCAGGGCTTGACTATTGCAGTTCTTATTTCCTCCAGGAAACCATTATGAAGTAAGTTAGAGGGAGCTGTTGCCACTCACATGTGCTCCAATGCTTAATTAAGAATTTGCGGGATGGATGCCAAAGAACAAGAACACCAAGGGGAACGCCGGGACAGCAGCAAACGTTTGAGAAAGATTATTAAGAAATCGTCCCCAAATATACTCACAGCGCCAGGGGGCCCTTCCTCCATCCGCCGCAGTGAGCCCAAGCAGCAAGGACGGTTTCTGGAAGTTGACTCGCCAGGAACCCAGTTTTGTGGGACAAACATTGCAGCCTTTTTCCCCGCTCCTCCACCAGCTCTGGAGTGATTAGCAAGAAGGAAATCCAGGCAGGCAGCGGGGGAGCCTTGCCGAGGGTGCCAGTTAAAAGGTCACAGAGCAGAGCCCGTTAACTTCTGGTTACCGCTTATTAGGGAAGCACCACACCATGGAGAAAAGCCACTCCGGAAGAGAGAGCTGGTTGAAGCAACCTCTCCGCTTTGCAAGGGGGAAACAAACAGGTCAGGCACAGGACAGGAATGCAGGCTAATTCTCCACAATGGACTTCGGCTGGCACGCTTAGGGTACTGTAGCGAAGGGCGGGCTGGAACTGTAGATGGACTATGGGTGGAGGACCTGGGAGCACTGAAAGGCTGTGCTTTACAGGTGTCCTTAAATGAATAAATTGAATACCTTATTTATAATAATTTATTATAGCAATTTACAATAATAAAATGAATAAAGACGACTTTGTCTTACAAGCTGACCTTGAAGTGTTGGTGCTTGTAAAGCAAAGGGGCAGGATGGAGACTTGGTGTCTTTAACTCCCCCATTAGCACTTTCCAGGTTCTGGGGAACTCCTCATTCCATCAATGAGAATGTCCAAGGCTCGGAAGCCGACACGCGTGCTGTTGCCCCTTCAACTAGGGTGGTTGCACGGATTCAGCAGGGAGGTGGCCTACGGTAACGCTAGCGCGCTGCCTTCAATGGCACTGTTATCTAGCAACTTGCGGGACTGGCCAAAAGAAACAATGCAGGACCCCTACCAACAGAGACCGCAGTGTTGTTTCATGATGGGGAACCTCTCCTATTAAAGCAGAGCTAACCCTGCCAATAGCCAGTCTAACTGCCAGCCAGATAGAAGCTACAGCAGGCGAGGCAAAGCTAATCAAGACGTGACAGAGGCTGTGCAGGCAATGCAACTGCGGACAGGAATGTGACCTTTAAATTAAAAAGGACTCTAAACAGCAGCACACACCATTTAAGAGGCACACAACGGCAGCATTCCCAATGCGACACACAGCACGGTGTTATGGTCCAGCGAGAGGCCCTGGGGGCACCAAGGGGCCAGCTGACTTGGAGTCCTTGCATAACGTCACCAGCAGGCCCAGTTGCTTGCCTGTTCGTTCTTCCCACCCAAAAGGAACCTGAAACAAACCCTGCCGCAGGGCTTGGGGGGCCCTCTTGGAGAAGAACCGAATGGGACCAGCTATGGCGTCAATGGGAGCGGAAAAGCCGTCAAAAGAAAGGGGGCAGATCCGGCCAAGGGCCACGCAGCGCCACCTTCCAGAGAAAGCTTGCCAAGGCCACCTCGGGGAGAAGGGGCAAGTGGGGGTGGGGGTGGGGTTTCTAAGCCCGGCCTGCCTTCTGGGCCCCCAGCCTAGAATCCAGCCGCTCTTAAGGGCCTGGAGGGTGCCAGCAGCCCAGCTGTGGAGCCAGGGGGCCAATGCCTGTGTAAACGTAAGACTGCAGTTTCTAGGGCCACCAAGAAACATACTTCCAAAAACCACCTTTCGGCATTAACTTTTCTTCTTCCTCTAAATACTGGCAACAACAGCCTTTACGTGCCACAGGCATGAGAACACAGAATTAACTTGTTCCAACTTGTCAAGAAACTCCCTTTGCACCCTCTTTTCTGAGGAGAAGTCGTCTCTTCTGTTCATCTGACGAATGGAATAGGATTCTGAGATAGTCCGCTGGCGGTTTTAAGAGGAGTTTCCCTTAAGCAGTAACTATCCTGGACACCTTTTGGAAATCACACTTTGTGTGAGAAGGGCAGCCATACAAACAAACAAACAAACAAACAAACATTAGCAACACTCGCTCTTCAGAAACTGCGCTGCGGCCTGTTCAGAAAGGATCAGGCTTCAAGGTGTTCCGGAAGGCGCATCTGTCCGAGGGGGGCTGCTCCTTTTTGACTGGGAGCGGCCGGAGGGCGAGGCACGGGCCTCCGGAAAGCCCTTCTGCACTGGCACCCCACCTCTGTGGGCCATGCCAGTCCTCAGGCACCAGGACTCTGCCAGGCAAAGCGGCGTTGCAGCCACGCCCGCAGGCAACCAGAAGCAGCCGCACGACCCAGGAAAAGACACTGTCCCTTTAACGATCCAAAGCAGGCGCCCGCGTCGGACGAAGCCCCTCTTCGGAAGGAGCGGCACGGCACGCAGGCCCCAGCCTGGCCCCAGGGCCAAAACTACCCCCTCACGCAAGGCTTGGAGCACAGCCTAGGGATGGCTATGCACGAACTTAGGACGACGCAAATCTCCTTAAAACGATTTTATTTATGAAGAGAACCGCACGGTAACAACACAGGACTATACAATCTAAGACTCTTATATTCCCCTCCCACCCACTGTGGTGTTATCACAACCCGCACAAATTTCCATATTTTAAGACAAGAATAGAAATAAAAAAATCATTTCAGGTATCATCCCAAGGTAAGCTCCCTACCCTTTCTAACAGACACACCGAAACAGCAGCTTTGTTCGACACGCGGCGTCAGTCCCGGCACCGGCTCAGAGCGAAGGTTCTTGGCAGGACAGAATTAAGAAATGAGCTGAAGGCCACCATCACCCCACCATCAACAGGAACCATTTACTCTTCGATTTCTCCCCTGGTACAGCAATTTAGGTCCTCCTGTGTGGTGCTCGCTCCCACCAAACTTCCTCTTGCGACCTTTCCCGATACTACAGAAGCAAAATTTAAGCTGTTCTAATGTGTTTGTTTGGAATCTACTATGTGGTTTACGATCACTGCAATTTATTTTAAAACAAATGATATGGCAGATCAAACTAACCATGTTTCTAAAATTTTTCAAAGAAACGACAATTAGAATAGAATTAATTCTAAAACACTCAAATACATCACAAAGTGTAGGTTCTATGCTATATTTTTAATGAATGCAAAAAGTGCAATGGAAAGCAGGCCCAGCCGACTCAGTTTGATCTCTAAAAGTGGGTTCCTCCACAAGCAAGGGGCTGGATCCCTTTCAGCATCACTTGCTGCTTGAATCACCCCTTTCATGAAGAACCTGGGTTTTTACCACCAGGAAGAACCGGTCACTTGGCAGAAATGGCGTTTGGCCCTCACGCAGGCGTGCTTGCGCGGTTGAGATTGGACTGAGTCCCCGACAGGATTTGTGAAATGCCCAAATCGAATCAGTTCCCTTTGAAGCGGACTTTTCCAAAGATTGCCTCTTGCCTGAGGCCTTTAAGACACAGAAATTAAGTTGCCTGTTTTATAAAATGAGTGTGTTACTTCCTACCTTTCACAAAAGGAGACTGCTGGGATGGGGCGCGTGGAGAGAGAGCAGCTTCCTTTTAGTTAGTGAATATTTTCACCAGAAGAAAAAAAATACTTGGGGGACCCGGGAAGCTTCTGCTCGGGCACGCCGGGGATCAGGTCCGCCCGGGCCTTACTTGGCCCCCTTGGATGCGCCTCCTCCCTCCCCCTTGTGCAACAGCCCCACCAACTACAAGGAACGTTTAAAACCGTTTCTCAGACCTTTTAATGGGAACCCCTGTGCCCAATATTCAGAAAGTGTTCTGTCTCCTGCCAATGAAAAAATGCCATTCCCACAAAAATGGAAGATTGCTATTTTGCAAAAATCACAGCTATCGCCTCACCTGTTTAGTATTTTCAAAAGAAACAGTGGCAAAAATATAGGGAGATATGGGCTTTTTTTTCCACACCCCCCACCCAAACCTATTTATCTGAAACTTGGCAGTTTTGATCCATCAGCACAGGCCAACTTTGCTTGCACATATCATCCAATTTTGCCATGCAATAAAAAAGGCAGCAGTTTCTTAAAAAGATAAGGTAAATTTTTAAAGGCGTCTAGAACACCCTGCGCCTGTTTGCCTGAATTCTGACAGACTTAATCACCTAACAAAATCCTCCACTTGAGCTCAGTTCTTGGTGACTTCGAGGCCATCTCCACACAGCACAGAAACCCCCCCCCCCCGGGGGTCC